CTCGGCGTTGCATCTTTGAGGGTTTAGGGTTTCGGGTTTGGGGTGTTGGGTTTAGGGTTTGGGGTTTAGGGTTTAGGGTTTAGTTTTCCCTCCAGGGTTTAGGGTTTAGGGTTTAGGGTTTGGGGCTTAGGACTCGTGTGCTCCAGGGCTTGGGGTTTAGGCTCAGGGGTTAGATTCAAGGTTAGGAACCACGCGGCTGTGCTGCATACAAATGCATGCACGCACATATTGTACATACACGACATACCAAGACATGCCACGACGGCATACCACACAGTATACTCAGTATAGCTCTAGACACCTACAGACGTACAGACGCACTAAGGTACATGCACGCACGCATACATGCATACCTACATGCATGGAGGCAGGCACACATATAGAGGAATGCATGCATACATGCACAAATGCACACTTACTTGTTGCAGACGTGCATATAAACATGCATGTATATAACCACCTCCAACAGAGACGTGCTCCCACCTCCAGTAGATCAAATCTGACATGAGAACCACACGGCCAGGAAGTACATGCACATATGCACAGGTACATACGTACCTTGGAGACAAGGGTTGAAGTATGGCCATAAGCTAGGCTAAGTGGAGGTGTGACGAGCTTCAGGGCTTAGGGCTGAGAATTTAGGCATAGGGTTTGAGGGGCTTTGCTGGATCTCGGTTGTCGCATGCTCCTTGACACTGATAGTCCTGTCTTGTGAGATCAACTTGCGACAGTATACAGCCCGCCCCCCTACCCAAACACTGCAACATCCGCCCCAATGCTTGGGACACGCTTTGCATCCGGGCTGTGATGTCGTGGCAGAAGAACTCTCAGAGTACCCGGAACCCGAAACCCTAAACCCTAAACCCTAAACCGCAATACCCAATAAACCCTAAACCCTAAACCCCAATACCCTACAAACCCAAAACGCCCAGAATCCCAAACCCTTGGGCCCAGCTTGCACTGCTTTTGCCCGCGATCCAGCAGCCAAGCAGGGCCATCACCTCGGGCAAGTCCTTGGCATGGTTTAGGGTTTAGGGTTTAGGGTTTAGGGTTTTGGGCTTGGGGTTTGGGGTTTGGGGTTTAGGGTTGATAGGTGATAGGGTCAGGGGGACCCTTGGGGATATAGATTTAAGAGCGCCAGAAGAGGGTTTAGAAGGGTTCCCGTTTAAGGGTCCTCCTTATCCTACCTAGGGGTTTAGGGCTTCCGGGATTCTGTGTGGTTGGGCTCACAGCCCCTAAGATCTTGGCAGACTTTCCAGCTCGTTGAGCCAGATAACCACAGGTAGAGTTTGGGGTCTAGGGTTTAGGATTGAGGGCTTGGGGTGTAGAGTTTCTATTCTGCAACAACCTTCCGCGCAGCATCTGCCCAGACACTTCAGCCACTCGGACAGCTTCTCAGCCACACGATCGAAAGCGGCACGGTGCGATGCTTCCTCCGCTTGGTAGTTGTACGTTTGGGGTTTCGGGATTAGGGTTTGGGGTTTGGGGTCAAGGCTTTGTCTTAAGTGGGGTGATTTTGTATGGAAGTAGATCAATTCAAACTAAGATGCCCTCTGCCGGGGCCAGTTTGGGAGGATGGCTTTGATGGCTTCTGATTCCTAACTCCGTGACACTTCCTGATTCCTGGCAAAGGAGCTTGCGGAGCCACGCTTTTCTTGCTAAGATGAATCTTGGGTACGTGCCAAGTACTAAGACGGCCTAAGACAGTAGCCCAACCTTCTGAGCTGAGCAACACATAGGGACCTCGTGCGAAAATCCTCTGTGCAGGTGCACACGGCAGTCTTTGTGAGGCAGGTCTTACTGCCACAACTGCCAGCACGCAAAAGTGCGATATCACGATGTGCTTTACATCTAAGCTGAATTCACGGCCACTCCCATCCTCTATGGGAGGCCCAAGAAGCTACTATTTGCATAAGAACCCCACATAAAATAAGCAAATGTTCTTCCTTATAAGGGTAGTAAAGGGACTACTATTTATGTTAATAATAATAATAATTATTATTATTAATTATTATTATTCTTAATATTACTATTACTATTTGGGGGGGGGTTCTTCACCAATTAGTAGCAAGAGCATGCAGCCTGTCCAGGGTCAATCGTGGAAGCACCAGCGACATCCTGAAGAACCATGAGGAACCTATTTTCGTGGGTACACGGTGTGGCTCAGGAGGACGGTGCCATCGTAGTTGATCGACTCAACCAGAATCTCAGTCTTCGAGATGGTCAGGTCGTAGAAGCCGTACTGCGCCTCGCCATACCAATCCACTGTGTTGTTCGGATTTGGCGTGGCTTCCGAGGTGATTCCTCCGCCACCACCAGTGACGATGCAAGTCATGCCCATGTGGTTCTTCCAGTGGTGCTCGGGAAACCTCGGCTGAGGCGAAGAAGACGTCCTACAAGGGTTCATGAACTCTGCGGACGGACTTTATGAAGAGGTTCCTGTACAATGATGATTTTGGGGCCTAAACCCTAGGGACAATGAGTCCTTGGGCGTGCCTTCTGGCGGCCGAAAACGACGCCCGGCTGCTCGGCCCGTTGCTTCGATTTGCGTAATGCCCCCAGGAAGAAATGTGTGTTTTGACTCTTTTTCTGTTTTTTTTTTGGGGGGGGGGGGGGGGGGGGGGGGAGGGGTTCTTAAGCAAATGGCATCCACTGCTGGCCGCGAACCGCCGAAACCCCAAATGAGCACAAATCTACCCTAAACCCTAAGCTCTAAACCCTAAACCCTAAAGAATAAAACCTAAAGGCTGAGGAGCCAGAGCTCCTGGTCATGCCGATGGCCGGTGATGAGCAAATCCAGTCCCCGGGCGCGCAGCTGGCTGTAGAAGCCCTGCTCTCATAGAAAGTGTGGTGGAGGGTTTAGGGTTTAGGGTTTGGGGTTTAGGGTTTAGGGTTTGGGGTTTAGGGTTTGGGGTTTGGGGTTTGGGGTTTGGGGTTTAGGGTTTGGGGTTTAGGGTTTGGGGTTTGGGGTTTAGGGTTTGGGGTTTGGGGTTTAGGGGTTTGGGGTTTGGGGTCTGGGGTTTCGGCTTTGGGGTTTAGGGTTTGGGGTTAGGGTTTGGGGTTTAGGGTTTAGGGTTTGGGGTTTAGGAATTGGGGTTTAGGGTTTGGGGTTTCGGGTTTGGGGTTTCGGGTTTTGGGTTTCGGTTTTAGGGTTTCCAGTTTGGGGTTTCGGGTTTAGGTTTGGGGTCTAGGGTTTGGGATTTAGGGCTTCGGGTTTAGAGTGCCAAAGGTTTATAGGGCTACGGCTTCGGGTTTCAGGTTTGGGGCTTGGGGTTTGGAGTGTTTTTCTGTTTACAGTTCTCTGGACACTCTTGAACGCAGGACTGCTCAGCCTCCGGCCGAATCCCAAGACACCAAACCCCGATAAGGCGAGCCGTTTAAAGTGAGTGTGGGGAAAGTAAAGGTCCATCCTGCTCGTGCCCGCATGGAAAGTGCGTGACGACAATCTGCCATGTTGCAGTCGACTGGGGCAACAAGTTCTTCATCCATTCCTCGGAACTCACCATGCGCAATTATTTTGCATTCAGGCCTCTGCGAATAATGCTGGGCAACCCTGAAACATGGCCTTTGCTCCAAGTGCATAGCACCCACAATCCTAAAATTCTAAACCTCAAACCCTACAAGTAGGGGACCCTTAATAACCGACTAAGGGCCCTAAACTGGGTTGTATGTATGACAACTTAGGTTCTCAGTCCATGAACTAAAGCAAGTTTCAGAAAGCGGCCCTTACTGGTAAGTTCCCTAAACCCTAAACCCTAAACCCTAAACCCCTCCTCAAACCGATCCTAGTAGCTTTCTGCTCGTCCCAGAGCTGCGCAAACCTGAGAGGCTCGACAGGAATGGATTGGGATATTGCCCCTTCTACTATCACAGTCCCCAATAGGGATTCTGATAGGGTTTACTAGAATCCATACTCAGGGCTGTTTAGCATAACGGGGAAACATCCCAAGGAAAAAAAAAGGCAAAGAATGGAGTGCCTCAGCCAAACCTCACCGTAGCCTTGCGTGCGTTTTAGGGTTTATAAGGTTTAGGGTTTAGGGTTTAGCGCTTAGGGTTTAGGGGTAAGGGCAATCGTAGAACAAAGTCTAACTAACATGACGAACGCCTTCCCTAAACTCTCAACCCTAACTAATCCCTTAAACTCCCTGCCCGAGGCACCAATGGGGGCAGTCCTCCACCGACTCCTCTGGACGGATTTCGGGCTCAAGATGTTAGGAAAATCCACGCCTTTATTCGGGTAAAAAGAGCTTATGGGGGTTTAGGGCCTAAGCCGGCCGTAAAACCTAAACCCTAAATCCCCTAAATCCGAACCCCCCCCCAATATTTAAAAAACACTCTGCAAGATATCAACCCAAACCCTGACCCTAAACCCTAAACCCTAAACCCTAAACCCTAAACCCTAAACCCTAAACCCTAAACCCTAAACCCTAAACCCTAAACCCTAAACCCTAAACCCTAAACCCTAAACCCTAAACCCTAAACCCTAAACCCTAAACCCTAAACCCTAAACCCTAAACCCTAAACCCTAAACCCTAAACCCTAAACCCTAAACCCTAAACCCTAAACCCTAAACCCTAAACCCTAAACCCTAAACCCTAAACCCTAAACCCTAAACCCTAACCCTAAACCCTAACCCCCCAATCCCCCCCCCCCCCCTAAACAAAAATGACCAACTCTGCAAGATATCAACCAAAACCCTAAAGCCTAAAGCCTAAACCCTAACACCCCCCCCCCCCTCCAACCAAAACAAAAAAACAAACTCTGCAAGATATCAAGCCCAGACTCGGGGCCGCCAGTGGAGGCGCAAGTGGCACCCGGCCGGTTGTTCTTGGAGCCTTCGCGGGGGCATGTGTTGGTTTAGGGTTCAGGGTTTAGGGTTTAGGGTTTAGGGCTTAGGGTCTAGGGTCTAGGGGTTAGGGGCTCGCAGGATTCTTTTTGGGGATTTGGGCCTACATGACAGGGATTTCAGATTTTGTTGGGTCTTGGGGCTTGAAGGCTTT